CTCCTCTCTCTCTTGGCATTTAGTCCCATGTAATCAAAACCTCAAATACATGCACTTTGGTAATAGATTATTATTGATGGGAGAATTAGATTTTACCCCCTAGCTCTTCAACTACTTTGAAATTTTCAAATTTTGGTGATAATTAAGTTGAATGTAGTATTGAATTAACCATTTCATTCGAAAAGTTTGTGAGAGGTAAGATAGCAAAAGGGAGGCTTAAGTGAAAGCGCTTTGTCAGAGAAAGGATGAAAATATTATAGTTACAAAAAAGGAAAGATTTCGATGAAGATGAGCTGTGAATTTGAATATATTTAAGAAAACACGCTGTGAATGCAAGCTGGGGTGTGAGAAATATGTTGAGCGAATGCAGCACAACATAAAATCTATCTTACTCTAATAATTCATTACTCTCCTTAACTAGTCACCTTTTGTAGAAAGTCCAAATTATATAATTCTAACTAGACTTTCCAAACTCTAGACTAAATAATTTGTAAGATTGATATATCATACCATGTGAGCTATATTTCATGAGAATTATAGTTCGGTTGTTTGTTAAGAAGTATCGTGAGGTAATGTAACCTAATTAGATCAAATTAAGAGAAGAGTGACAGTTTGATTGAATAGAACAGACAATACAATACAATACATAATAGAAGTCAAGAACCAAGAAAATAATCGTCATCCAGTAGAGCTAAGACTCGAAAGGATAATGCCTAGGTGCCGTGACCTAGCGCCTGACACTAAAGTTAACTAGGTACAGTTAAACCCTTATTTTTGCAAGAGGTGGGGAAGTTGAATTGTAACCATCAATTCAGCTAATTCTTACCATTTTTCTGTTGGAGCTTTATTTAGAGTAAAATCCTATGTATTACATGTGTATACCCTAAAAATCTAGTGCTTATATGATAAAGGGATACTCCATATGCATGCCCTTAGCTTCAAATACTTCTTATTTCTACCAAAGAATTGTGCTACATGCCATTAATTTGCAAGTAGCAGAAAAAGAATTTCAAAAAGCTCATTTCCTCTATTACTATTCAGAGTGAATATCTCAAAAGGTCAAGATTTAAAGCTCCCATATCCATATATACAACAATTAATTGAACCCTCTCCCAATTATGCACAACTAATTCAAGAATTTGGACTAAACAAGAACCTAAATCATCCCCTAAATCTAAGTATATGTATTAGAGAGAAAAAAAAACAAATTGATGGGGTCAAATCATTAATGAAATTAAACATGATAGTTAAACAAAATAACTTTGCTTTGCTTTGTGTCTTAATTAATTTCACCACGATAAATTTGACTCAAATCACAATTATGAAGAAGCATATCTATAATAATAAAGGGGATGTTTTTTTTTTCTCATTTATATACAATAATAATATACTCACAACGGATGTATGATAGACTTTATAAAGGCAAAGGCATAATAAATATAGAGAAAAGAAACTAAGAAAGGTAGCAACTTTGTACATATATGAACATAACAAGCTACATTAAGGTCCTTGTATCATTTATAGCACCCTTTTCAACCATTATGGATGTGGAATGTGGGACAAAATTTAAAAACAAGAATTTTATTTTTTTCCAACAAACAAATGAAAAGAAAGTAGTAGAAATAATAATAGCAATATATTAAATTGCATGGGCCAAACCAATGGGGTCCTCTCTCTCTCTCTATAAACTTCATTCATTATTTCCCAATCTGAATCCCTCATTGAATAGGCACCCACGAAATGTATGAGCTATACATTACTCTCCCCACCATTAATTAAAACCCTAGTAGCTTCCTCTATTTTTCCATCCTTTTTAATATATCCATCCATCCGTGTCCCGGTGAACTTGTGCAATCCTTGACTAATCTTACGAGACAATTATCTAGTCCTACATTTCTACAAACGTATTAAATTCTAGATAAGTAGTCAATTCAAATTCTTTTGAGTTTCGTTGGCCATTTTGGACCAATTGACCAACCCAGAATGGTTTCTATTTTTGAATCTTCATCTTCCTTCTCACCCTCTAAAAGTTATAATTTTTTGGATCTTCATCTTCTTCCTCTCTCTCTCTGAAAGTTTTCCAAGTTGATGTCGTGATTTTAGGGCTTGGAGAGAGATCATGAACAACCTCGGGAGTTGTGTGTGTGGCCGTGATCGGACAGGATTCGGGTCCCACAATGTTGATTGCATATTAGATTTCTATGTCCCATTTTTGATGACTTGTCCCCATTTGTGTCCTGTAACCGTTGGAGCCTGCAGTCCCCCTTGGCCCTTATTATCTATTCAAATTTAGCTTCCTACATCCATTAAAAAAAATCATCTTTTGAAGACACGACTTCGATCCGACCCGACCCGAGTCTAATATAAGAGATTATTAATTAACATAGGGTGGTAAGAATGTTGGTCAGTGAAATTAAGGAATTAAGGACCAAACTTTTGTTGTAGCTTTTTTGAGGGTGGGCATATATAATTCAGTATTTTAATTTGTAGCCCTTTCTAGCACTCTTTGTCTATTGTAAATAGTAAATTGTAGTACTGTGTGTGGTGTTCATCATGTCTCTTTCTCTCACAAATTCGAAAGGCCCTACTTTGGCATCAAAATTTTCAAGTCGTTTGTTTTTTCACCACCTTGGGGGGTTATTACATAATAAGACAAAGTGGTGGTTCTTGAAGAGCAAAGTAAAAATGGTGAAGGGGACACATGCTTTACAATGAGCAGTGGTGGGCTGTGGCTTCAAAACTTGTGTCCCAACGAACACGAATCTAACACAATTGCAATGGCTGTTGGGTTTTTGTTTGGTTTGGTTGTACGATTTCTGAAGTAGAAGACAAAAGTTTTTGAATTGAAGGTTTTATTTTTTGTTCATTTAGTGAGCAATGACCCGTCAGGTTTTGGGTGGTTGGAAAAATGCAATGCTGAGTTTATACCTCTTCTGCCTCAGCCCCACCCACCACCTTTTCAAAGCCCCTTCACCGAAAAGAATGTCTTCCTATATTATTACCTTAATTTATTTGCTCTCCCTCCATCACAATTCTACTTTCTACCAAAATCCTTTTTCTTTTATTTTTTTTATTTTATCACCATGTGTTGTGTAGTGGCTTTAATTATTTGTTTGCTCTACCAAAAACAAATTAAACGTATATATATTTGGTTTAAATATTGGATTTGGTGTCTAAACAGGGTTATTAGATAACCATTTTGTTTTTCGTTTCTATTTTGAGGATTATGTTAATAGAACGCACTCCTTTCACCTATGTGTTTTGACAATATTTTCATAATCTAAACCAACCTTTAAAAACTAAAAAAAGAAAAAAAGTCTAGATATTTGTTTTTTAAATTTGGTTAAGAATTCAAATGTATTTTTTTAAATCGGTGAAAGGAATAATGGATGGAAGCACAAACTTAATTATGTACTATATGTTTAGTTTGTAGGTCTATGATTTCAAAAAAATAATATATTAGCTTAAGATATGAGGTTTATAGAAGTGGGTTTATATATATTTCAACAAAAAAGGAAAGAAAAATTTGAGAACATTTAAAACGTTAAAATTCAGTTTATGACCTAAAACCAAATTAACACCACAAAAATACATTTTTTTCCATTCAAAAATCTGCGAAATCATTTTTAACGCATCATATGATCATTGTTATAACTAACAACTAATATATGAAAATGGGTCGTATTTCTTTTCTTTTCTTTTTGTTTGTCCTGTTCTGTCTTAACTCAAACTCAACCTCCATGTTAATTATCAAGACCTGACAGAGCATCAAAAAAAGTTGACTTTATATACATAAAAGAATCTCCAATGATAGAGAGGCCGAGTTCTTTGAAATGGGAGGGAGACGTCCAATAGCAAACGAGGGTTTTTGGAACCTTGTGTGTATTATCACTTATCATGAAATCTTGTGTTCAGTCCTTTATTATTGGTCATAGTATTGTTCAACCCAGACAACGAGCTCTAGATATAAGGATCCACTCAAAACTACATGACATCGACTCCGAAAAATTATAGAGAGAGGGGTCCAACTATGGGACACTTGGTTGAAAATTGGGTAGAAGAAACAAAAAGGGAAAAAAAATCTAAGCAAAATTGGAGTGGTTTAATTTCTATGGAATTTTTTTTCCTTTTTAGTTGGGAGTGGTTACTTTTAGTGATGTAGGCTCTTCCAGCCATGAAAGACAAGAATAACTTCTGAAAAGAAAAAGAAATTGAAAAAAAAAAAGATGAAAGAATACACTTGATCAGAATCCATGCAGTTTATGAGTCATTTCATCATTTAAAATTTGAAGCAATTTCTAGAGTTTGCTCATTGGGATTGTGGGACCTATGAGAATGATCATTCATCTTAAATACCCAAATTTTAAAATTAAAAAAAAGGACCTTTTAAACAAAGAAAAAAAAAAATCTTCTGCCATATTTAGAAAGTGAAGAAATTTAGGGTTTGGATAACAGTGTTCATTGCAGAGTCCAGTCAGCCCTATTGGAGAGTTCTTAAATCTTCATTTCCTCTTCTGCCTAAATACTGTTTTTGTGTTTGTTTTTTCTCTCTATTTTAAACATCAAACTGACTTTCTTCTGATTTGTTCAGTGCCACCTGTTAAAAAGAGAGCTTATAAATATTTAATTTTACCTTAATCTTTCAGTTTAAGCTTTTAAGTTGTTCGATGATTTAACATATTTAAGATGATATCAGAGTAAGAAACTCTTCTCTACAAATGTTACGATATCTTATAAATGATTAAATTTAATTTAACCTATCAGCTTCAACTTTTGAGTTAATAAGCGGTATTCATTGAGACAAAATTTGAAACTAAGAATGGTTCGGGCTCACGTCACAGAAATGGTTTTCCTAGTCTCTGACTGATCGATCTCTTTCATTCCTAGTTTAACCTTAAAAAGGAAGTGATAAGAATTATCTTTCTCAACTTAATTTACTTCAAAATTTTCAAATATACAACCCATGTTTATATCTGAGAAAATTGTATGAACCTTACCATGTAGAAAAGGTTTTAGGAACCAAGTCACATTCAAATTGACAAATAGAAGCTGTGCAAACTTAATTATACCGTAGTTACTTCGTTGTGATTCCATATTAATTCTTCATCTTTCTCTAACTTATCTAGCTTTAAACTGGAATAATAAATGTCGGAATGCATCGACAAAAAACAGGTAAATATACAAGTGTAGTTCGATTTCGAAAAAAGAATTTTCGAGAATATTGTGTCTCATAATCGTGTATTTGAGCTATATTTAATTCAGGTCGTTGTTGTTTAAGAGTTCAAATCATGTGTTATGATGCAATATTTACCTTTATTCTAAGTGAATGAAATTCTTGACCTGTAAAAAACCTAAAGTTGATACTTGAACATAATTAATCAATTTGGTGTGACAAGGACATAACAAACGACATATATATATACACAAACATGACAATTCATAGACGTCAGCAAAACATAGGATATATAACCTTGAAGAATTATGGGTGCATTAAGTACTCATGAGAGGTCAAAACATTGTTATTGTTTGAAAAGTAAGGCAGTAAATTTTACAATTCAAATGCTCTTCACAAACAAAATTTTACCACCCTAACCAAAACTTACAAACTAAAAACATAATGTTAGTTTAACCAAAAGGTTTCTTTTTTATTTCAGCTGAGATTTGAAAAGGTAGAAAATTACAAAGGTTAAAGTAAGAAGCATTAAAGAAAAGGGGAAATTGAAGAAGTTTTTTATAAACTTAGAAAAGGTGAAGGATAATGACTACCCATGAGACCTCTCTTTTTCAGTCTGCTCTTTATGGTTCACTAAATGGCTCTGCACACAGCAATTGGAATGTATCAATATAGTCTTCAGAATAGCTTATAAAGTTCTGCAAACATATGGTAACTAAACAACATCATTAAAACTACGTGAATTTGGAAAGCTAAGACTGGTAATCTGGTTCATATCTTCCCTTTGAAGATTCCTGAAGCCCTGCTCGAATCCCCTCTCGAGTCGAGGAATCCTAGTTGTTTTTTTTGGTTTAGGGTTGGTTCGAGTTCGATGATCGCTACTTCCCGAGTTTTTTTGTTTTACTCTTGTTTTAGAAAACACGCTGAAAAAAATTCTTACCCTTCAAAAGGTATGTTTCCCTATAAGTCATGGAATTTGACCATAAATGGAACCAAATTTTATTACTTTTCTGTGCCATTAAGTTTACACCTCATTGAATTTATGGGAAACATTCTACCACAATGATTTTTAGACTCGGGAACTTTGCTTGAAAGTACATCCAAATGAAGTGCTTTCATATGTAACTACTTCAAGAATGGAGAGAAGATAACACCATTGAAACAGCATGCAGCGACCCAGTTACTACGGTAAGACCTGCTCGCCCTTCCGTTCTCTGCTTGAGAATCTCAGCAGCAATTTTCATGGCATGTAATAACGAGGTCTCGGTAGTTAATATCGGTCTGCTTTCGAGTTTGCTTGTGGAGGAGACCAGTGCATCTTTAGTTTCTAGAGAAATTGGGATCCCCAATTCATTGGCTGCTTGGATCCAGCAGTCTCTTAGAATGGCAGCTGAAGTTGTCCTTGATTTGCCTCCACCAATATTAGCTTCAGTCAAGATAATGGACTCCAATTTTCCACCTGCAAGTTCAGTAACTGCCGACTGTCAGCATTTCATAGCTATACATCTCACACATTAGAGAAGGCAGACGGGAACTCAGATTGTTATGTTTTCGTCGAGATATCCCAGATTCAAATTGAATCTCTACAGAAAGTGATTATTACGTTTAAATCACCAAGCAGTAAGACAATGAAGAAAGAGCAGAAACATTTGACATTCTCAATTTGAAAGAATAGGAAACGTATAATTTGATAAAAGAGGTTAAGAAGACAACTCTGTTTTCTGCTTTTGTTTTTATAAAGTATGTTGGATGACATTTTTTTGCTTTTAGTTTTCTGTTTTCCAACAATACTTTGGAAATCTAAACTAGTATTAAGAACAAAAAAAAAAACTAATTTCAAAAACCTATTTTCTGTTTTCTACTCTTGAACACAGCGTTTCTCTTACTATTTCTCTTTACACATTCTTTCACTGATCTATCTTGATCATACTATCTCTAAGTTAAGCTCTTTTTATAACCTTAGCTAATCTACCTCTGCACACATTTTAAAATGATCCAAAAGTAACATAGTTATCAAACAAACCCTATATAATCCAAAAGTTTCATGACTATTGAAGATTTTACAATCAAGCAATATTCTTCGAGGTGAATGGAGAGAAGAAATCTGTCCTCTGTAGGTCAAAGAAAATCTGGGACGAAATCTTTGAAGGGGAAGGCTATACCTTGAAGAAATTCTCTGGCAAAACCAACGTGATCCTTATCGCTAGCCATTGCAACCACGAGAGCCAACCGTGCCTCCGGAAAAGTCATCTGAATGGTGTCCACTAATGCTTTGGCAGAGTCTTTGGTGTGGGCTGAGAAAACATTCAAGAAACCACTCAGAAAGGGTGTCAAAATGCATGTAAGGTATGAGACCAACTTCTAAACCAGAGCAACACAACATAAACTTCCCTATATATCAGCCGACACAGGTTGAAATTTTATCGGCTAAACCCATTTGATCAACACCAAAAAGACCTTGAACATTCTGGAGTTTTTTGAGCAATTAGCAATCCATGAATTTGAAACATGTACCGGTAACATCTACAAGAGTACCCATGATTCAAACATCAAATTACCAAAAGTCTCAAGTACAGTAGGGTAGAGGAGACATGGCACAAGCACAATGCTCACGTCCAAGGGTTGGCTCAGTAGTCAAGAGGCAAGTTAAAATACTATAGTAACCATCTATCTACGAATTTCTTGACAATTAAATGTTCCTAACCAAACGTTGTAGGCTCCAATAATTGTCTTGTGACTGGTCACGATGCACATAAGCTAGCTCGATGTTCATGGTATTTAAAATTATATATAAAATAAAAAAGGAAAAAAAAAACCCTCATCTCCCAACAAACCAAATTTGACTGTAATAAACAGAAATATGAATGCACCTCCATCCAGCAATATTGTTGCTCCAGGTAGTCCAAGAACCCCAGCCTCCTTTGCTGATAAGAAATGGCTCCTACCGACCAAGAATGTTTGCTCTAGTCCAGTCTTAATTGAGGAATCCGAAATTCTCCAACCTGAATTATTTATTAGAATAGTTTATTCTCTAAATGAAGGTACAGATATCAAATAAAATATCAAAAATGATATTATACCTAAATTGCGGAGAGTGAGAATAGCACAAGTTGCAGTTGCTGCGTTCTGAAGTTGATGACGTCCAAGCATGCGGAGGTTGACATCCAATAACTCAATGAACTGCATTGGCAAAAAGATTTAGGAATTATTGATAGAAGTTCAAGGAGTGAAATTTAAATTTATTTGGTAGAATACATGAGCCATACTTCATTGTCTATTTGAATTACTATGTCGCAGCATTGGCAAAGTCTTCCATCAAGCAGGCTTACACCTTTTATAGTACTTCTATGTCCAGGATATGAGGCAGATATTACATACGAAGACATGGATAATGCTTTATCGTGAAGAATGCACTCAATACTTGGAAGGAAAGGACCACCCAATATAGTCTGAAATCAAATGCAAGGAGCATGGAATAAATTTCAGAAGAGAAATCAGATAAAATGAGAAGGACAATATTATCAGAATAGGTGTTGGAGAATTAGTACACATGAGTTCAATAATGGACTCCTCTTCAACTCTCTCTCTCTCTCTCACACAAACACAGAAATACATACATTTAGGTTAACAGCTTCAGGTGAGAAAACTCCATGCCCCTGGAGGCCAAATACCAGAGAATGGGCTTTGGATGTCTCTGAGAACTTTTCATACAGGTTGTTTGCTTACAGCAATAAATCAATTTGATAACGTCCACATGGCAATTCAGTTTTGTTATGCTCAAAGTTCACAGGAGAATTAATATGAATAATAGAGTACAGCAAGAAGATGTTTGGTGTACAAAATAGAGTGAAACAATGTAGATCAAGTTTTTCCATTGTTATTTCCTAAGAGTTTACGGGGATAGACTTTAGGAAGTTAAATCAGTATTCAATAGGTCCTTCATCAGTAGGAGATTATTCAGGTCAATAGGTTAATAATCCTTCTATCAAGGAATGATCTTGTGGTCAAATAAGTGCCAATGTAAATAGTAAATGGCTTAGAGGGAATAAGTTCAAACCATGGTAGCCACATACGTAAGATATTTCCTATGAGTTACCTTGACAACTAAATGTAGTAGGATTAGGTGGTTGTCCCATAAAATTATTCGAGGTACGCCACAAGTTGGTTCGGACACTCACTGATATATATATATATATATAATATCTTACTATCAAAGAAACCCTCCTCAGCTATTTTAAGGGAGATTTTGAAAGTTAGAAATAGGATTTATGTTTTTGATGATATACGTGGAGAGAGATAGGAGAGTTTTGAGGCATCTTAGTTGTACTGTATCTCTTCTGGTCTTTCAACAAAAACAAATCTTTTAAACAATTATGATGAGCCTTTTTTTGTGATATGCTTACTCTTAAGTAAGTTCAGGCTAACTTAAAGTCCCCTCTTCTCTTCTCTTCTCTTCTTCTTCTTCTTTTTTTTCGAGTATTCTCACGAGACAACTGCCTAACCCTACCTACTACATTTGGTTACCAAAAAACTCAAAGGATATTTAATCCTGGATTGGTATTGTAAATCATGTAAAGTCATTAGAAAAGAGAAAACTTAACTAATGCATGGATAATGGATATCAAATGCTGAACAAGTCAATCAACACCAAAATTATACATCAAAAAAACAACCTAACCGGACAACCGTGTTTAATTATTCCAGCCTTTGCCATTGCAATGCTCTCCAAAGAGCCACCTAGGGCAGCCATGTGTTCCTCTCCAATTGAAGTTATGACTGCAGCAGCAAGTCTAGAGCTGCAAATTATGTTTGTTGCATCTCGTGCACCACCAAGTCCAGCCTGTTTCAGTTAAAATTAGAACAGATCGTTAATGGCCTTGAAAGCTTGTTCTAGAGAGAAAAAAATACTTGCCAAACAAAAAATAGTCAACAAGAAAGTGAACCTCAATGACTGCAACATCAACATTCTCTTGTGCAAAGAGTGAGAATGCCATAGCAGTAAGGACCTGGAGAATTTCATCAGCTCGTCTAAAAGATCAAAGAAAATATTAATGACTGCATAGGTCCAACAAACTTTTAAACGGCCCAGAAAGGTTTAGCATTGACTGGAACAATTTATGCCTTCCCACATGAAATCAAGCCCAAAAGGATGCAGGGTATCAAACATGTACGAAGTTCAAATCTTGAACGAAATAAAAGATCATGAGACAGACAAATTTACCAACCGAAAACATAGACCTGAAATATCCTTTTGCTTAATCACACCACGTAGAATCAGAAGCAGCATATAAGCCATTTGGGTTCTTAGAGATTTTTCCAATCACTACAACAGACTGCATGAATTAGTACCTCGAAATGACTAATACGCCCATTTTCAAATTCAACTGACTGGTCAAGAAACTCTTTGTTCCTTTTGAAAAGAGAGTTTAGTGCCTTCCCAGAGACCATCTCTCCAGATCTTCCGAGTGAAATACGTTCCCTTATAGTTTCAATATGAGGACTGCACATAAAAAATGCACAAACGCAAAGTTATGCCTTCCTAAATCACTACCAAGTAAGGGTATGCATAAAATCTGATAAATCTTCCAACAAGGCTGTACCTAGTATAACAGCCAACAGAGTATCCCTCTGCTCGTAAAATGTTAGACAGGAAGGCAGCAGTCGACCCTTTTCCCTTGGTTCCCGCAATGTGAATGGCCTATAATTCTTCTACCATTAGTCACTAAGAGCTAAATAGTTAATATGGTTAAGAACCTGAATAAATGATTAATTTACATACTTGAACTTAAATTTTTAGGTTGAGTGGTGATTTAACGTGTACCAGAGTATAGAGTGATACTCTTGAGTTTGAACCCTTGTATAATGTCATTTTCTTCCACTAATTTCCAATTCCACTGGGGAAAGTGTTAATCAATAAAGGTTTAAATTTACTGTGACCACAGGCTAAGCTTCTAAGTCAAGGGGTGATTTAACAAATAAATTCAAGTCTAATTAAACTCCTTGGACTGGAGAGGAAGTGGGTTAGTCCTAAACAGCAAGATTTAGTTAAGACTAGGAAAAGTAAAAGTTCATGGTAATGAGGCAACCTTAAACTTGGATTGTGGATTACCCAGCCGCTCCATCAGTCTTCTCATCCTTCCGAGATCGAACCCATCATCAGAATCCGTCCCGGCGCCTCTGGGCACACCCAACTTCTCGTAGTTCTTCAAGGAATCCAAGTATTCCATGAATTCCGTTAGCTCTAGATCTTCTGAGTGGGTGGCAAAGCATTGTTTAGACCCTATTCTGCAACTGATAGAAGGCCCTTCACCCACCAAAAAATTTAGGAGAAGCCCTCCGAGAATTTGTGGGCGATAACGGCGATGATATTTGAAGACATTCATTCTGAAATCATAGAATATTTTTTTTCTTGGGGAAAAACTAGTAGGCAGTGCGAAGTACGAGCTGGAAGAGTGGCCAACACTAACAGAGCGAAACTTGCGACAATCCTCGGCTATAAAAATTGTTGAATTTTAAAACTTTCTAGTTTCTATCTTGTTTAGATACGATGATGAATTCAAATGAATATGATTAATTTTTTTAAAAATAAAAAATAAAAAATACTAATAAAAGTTTTCTTTTTTTAGTTAATTAATACAAATTTTTTAGTTTTAATATAAAACTAAAATACGAAAATAAGTAATTTATTATAAAATTGATTGCTTTGGTAAAAAAAAATCAAATTACGTACCCAACATATTGTACTAAAAGAAAATCAAATTACGTAAGATTTCAAATAAATATAATATTAAATTACATCCTTAAGATTTGACTTTACATTATTTTTACCCACCAAAAGTTCACTTATTTTCTTCTCTGTATTCGTATGAATTTAATAGTTGTATGATGGAATATTTCATATGATAATAGGTGTTTAATAAACAAGGCTATGTTAAGGATTATTTTATCATATGTTTTTACTTTACCTTAGATATTAGTATCCAACAAAATAGAAAACTAATTACTTATAAATACGTTTTTGCAGTGATAAAAACACAGTTACAATTCACTTATTTATGTTATAATACTTTTGTAATTTATAATAATTTTTAATTATTCATTGCTAAATATTTAAGTTGACTGATAATAAATTGTTATGACATAATATTCAATAGAAATTTAAAGAAAGAAAAAATCATTTAAATCGACAGAGTTTAGATTCCTCCTCCAAATTTATATAAAAAGAAAACTTTCAGTTTTATTTTTTTATAATATTTTTTTTTCAACTAAATTTCTCTAATTTCATGAGTATTATGACAACAAATTTTAAAA